CTTAAGAGTTTCCATCAACTCCACTTCTCATTAATTTAGCAAACATCAGTCCCACCGAATTCAGCAGCTTTACCTAACAGTGGAACAAATTAAGCTAGCACTTTAACCAATCCCACCGCGCGAATTAATCAATAGAAACTCAAATGCACAACAAAATCACAATAATAGAATTAATATAAACCTTTTCCAATTATAGCTAGTATAAATCACTATGTTACATGTCTTATCTCTTTGTTTAAACTTTTAAAATTAAGAATCAAATTACACCACAACTTCTCTACGTATGCCAACAATTAGGTAAGAAGTTTAGTTGCCAACTTTCCATACTTGTGCATGACAAGAAACAAATTTCTAGAATTCGTTTTAGTTCTAAGTGTTATAACCAACCATAGAAACATTACACAGGCTGTACGTGACAGATATTGGCGAACTTGCTTCTCTAAATTTGATAATATCTTTAATTTTTCTTAGATTAACTTTTTCATTAAAAAAAAAAATCAAAAATCTTATTACATAAAAAAGGATGTGGTTAAAACATAATATAACTCACGAAATTTTGACAATTGTCAATAAGTCGATTAGATTCTAACACGTGTCAAATATTCAAATATATATGTAAGTATTTCAATATATAAAACTAGTATTATAAAATTATATAATCTAACAAACAAATTTATTGAAATTTTCAAATCAAAATAAATTCTAATAGAGATTTACTTAATCGATGAATACAACAATTTGTTTATAAAATGACAAATATATCAATGGAATATTTCATACTCCCAAGACCACTTTTAACCCTGATACTTTAAGAGTATCATTAAATAAAAAAATAAAAAATTTAATTATTAAATCTTTTGGTGTTGAACCGTATCAAAAGAGAGAGATGAGTGATACGGTTCTTCAAAGAGAAAGATGATTAATAATAAATTAATGTTTAAGATACTTTTAAAGTATTACCTTTAATGATGCTTTAAACACTATTTAAAGGTAATACTTTATCGACTATTCCTTCAAAATCACAAAAATGTTTTCTTCACTTTTCAACCTTTCAAAATGATTTGATATCTTTCATCCTCTCAAAATGATTTATTAAATTCATTTAAACATGATTTAAAAATCCGTCTTAAGTTAGAGAATTTTATTAGTTTCTTTTCTTACGTTTTTGTTTATATGATCAAACACTTTAGTATGTGGATTAACATGGAAAAATGATCAATCACTAGATGTGTTTTGATTCATATACATAAATACAAAAATAAGTAACAACCGTATTTGGATATATTTGAATAAAAAATGTCTTTTACAAGGTATTGTGTAATTTAGATATATTATTTATAAACTATAAATCTTAAAAACTCACACCATTTCAACCGAACAAACATCCAGATTAAACTCAAATGTCTTTTATTTATAGTACTAGATTTATACTCTCGCGCATTGCGCAAGATTTCAATTTTAAAACTTATAACAATATGAATCGTTAAATTTAATAATTTTTTAATTGAAAAGATAAATTTATACAAACATTTATATATATGTAAATTTATTTTACCAAACAATATTTTACCAAACAATATACAACAAAAATTTCTTTTGAAAAGTAACGAATCGGTAGATGTCACGTGGTGATAAAAATTAGACGAGTTGAGAACTTCGGCGACCATCTCACGACCTTTCATCCGAGAAATAGTTATTTCCATATTCCCATGAGAACATCTCTCTAGAAGTTTTGATGTTGACCATTTAACTCATCGTAAAAATCATTAAATGTTTATGCGAACTGATGAAATGCGAATGTTCTAAGTCAGTTAAGTTTAATTTTTTTTTCTTTCTAAAAGCTTCAATTACTATGAACTTAAAAATGTGGTT